TAGGTATTGTTTGTATACCCCACACTGTCTAGGTACATTGTCATATATGCTCCACACTGCTCCTCAGGGTACATTGTTTGTATACTCACACCGTTCAGGCACATTGCTTCTGTATACTTACACTGTCTAGGGGTACATTGCATGCCTACACTGTTCTCGGGTATATTGTTTACCTACACTGTCTAGGCACATTGTTTGTATACCTACACTGTCTAGGGTTATTGTTTGTTTCACCTACACTGCCCAGGCACATTGCTCGGTATACCCACACTGTCTAGGCATATTGTTTGTTTACTTCCACACCGTCTAGTACATTGTCTGTATAACACACTGGTCTAGGCATACTGCATACCCACACTGTCTAGTACATTGTATACCCACACTGTCTAGAACCATTGGGGTTTGTGCTACCCACACTGTCTAGGCACATTGTTTGCATATACCCACACCGTCTAGGCACATTGTTTGTGCCACCACACTGTCTAGGCACATTGTTTGTTTACCCACACCGTCTAGTACATTGTTTGCTTCACCTACACTGTCTAGGCATATTGTTTGTATACCCACACTGTCTAGGTGCACATTGTTTGTATACCTATTAATTCTAGGTACATTGTATACCACATTCATCTCGGTAATAGTGTTTTGTATACCTACACTGTTCAGGTACATTGTTTGTATACCTACACTGTTCAGGTACATTGTTTGTATACCTGCTCTGTCTAGGTACATTGTTTGTATACCTGCTCTGTCTAGGTACATTGCTTGTATACCTACACTGTTCAGGTACATTGTTTGTATACCTGCTCTGTCTAGGTACATTGCTTGTATACCTACACTGTTCAGGTACATTGCTTGTATACCTACACTGTTCAGGTACATTGTTTGTATACCTGCACTGTCTAGGTACATTGCTTGTATACCTGCACTGTTCAGGTACATTGTTTGTATACCTACACTGTTCAGGTACATTGTTTGTATACCTACACTGTCTAGGTACATTGTTTGTATACCTGCACTGTTCAGGTACATTGCTTGTATACCTGCACTGTTCAGGTACATTGTTTGTATACCTACACTGTTCAGGTACATTGTTTGTATACCTACACTGTTCAGGTACATTGTTTGTATACCTGCTCTGTCTAGGTACATTGTTTGTATACCTACACTGTTCAGGTACATTGTTTGTATACCTACACTGTCTAGGTACATTGTTTGTATACCTACACTGTCTAGGTACATTGTTTGTATACCTACACTCTTCAGGTACATTGCTTGTATACCTACACTGTTCAGGTACATTGCTTGTATACCTACACTGTCTAGGTACATTGCTTATATACCTGCTCTGTCTAGGTACATTGTTTGTATACCTACACTGTTCAGGTACATTGCTTGTATACCTACACTGTCTAGGTACATTGTTTGTATACCTACACTGTCTAGGTACATTGTTTGTATACCTACACTGTCTAGGTACATTGTTTGTATACCTACACTGTCTAGGTACATTGTTTGTATACATACACTGTCTAGGTACATTGTTTGTATACCTACACTGTCTAGGTACATTGTTTGTATACCTACACTGTCTAGGTACAATGTTTGTATACCTGCACTGTCTACGTACATTGTTTGTATACCTACACTGTCTAGGTACATTGTTTGTATACCTACACTGTCTAGGTACATTGTTTGTATACCTACACTGTCTAGGTACATTGTTTGTATACCTACACTGTCTAGGTACATTGCTTGTATACCTGCACTGTCTAGGTACATTGTTTGTATACCTACACCGTCTAGGCATAATACTGTTTGTATACCCACACCGTCTAGGCACATTGTTTGTATACCCGTACTGTCTAGGCAATATTGTTTGTATACCTGTACTGTTCAGGCATTGTTTGTATACCCACACTGTCTAGGTACATTGTTTGTATACCTGCACTGTCTAGGTACATTGTTTGTATACCTGTACTGTCTAGGTACATTGTTTGTATACCTACACTGTCTAGGTACATTGTTTGTATACCTACACTGTCTAGGTACATTGTTTGTATACCTGTACTGTCCAGGTACATTGTTTGTATACCTACACTGTCTAGGTACATTGTTTGTATACCTACACTGTCTAGGTACATTGTTTGTATACCTACACTGTCTAGGTACATTGTTTGTATACCTGTACTGTCCAGGTACATTGTTTGTATACCTACACTGTCTAGGTACATTGTTTGTATACCTGTACTGTCCAGGTACATTGTTTGTATACCTACACTGTCAAGGTACATTGTTTGTATACCTGTACTGTCTAGGTACATTGTTTGTATACCTGTACTGTCCAGGTACATTGTTTGTATACCTGTACTGTCTAGGTACATTGTTTGTATACCTGTACTGTCTAGGTACATTGTTTGTATGCCTGTACTGTCTAGGTACATTGTTTGTATACCTGTACTGTCTAGGTACATTGTTTGTATACCTGTACTGTCTAGGTACATTGTTTGTATACCTGTACTGTCTAGGTACATTGTTTGTATACCTGTACTGTCTAGGTACATTGTTTGTATACCTGTACTGTCTAGGTACATTGTTTGTATACCTGTACTGTCTAGGTACATTGTTTGTATACCTGTACTGTCTAGGTACATTGTTTGTATACCTGTACTGTCTAGGTACATTGTTTGTATACCTGTACTGTCTAGGTACATTGTTTGTATACCTGTACTGTCTAGGTACATTGTTTGTATACCTGTACTGTCTAGGTACATTGTTTGTATACCTGTACTGTCTAGGTACATTGTTTGTATACCTGTACTGTCTAGGTACATTGTTTGTATACCTGTACTGTCTAGGTACAGTGTTCATACACCTACACTGTCTAGGTACATTGTTTGTAAACCTACACTGTCCAGGTACATTGTTTGTATATCTGCGTTGTCTAGGTACATTGTTTGTATACCTACACTGTCTAGGTACATTGTTTGTATACCTACACTGTCTAGGTACATTGTTTGTATACCTACACTGTCTAGGTACATTGTTTGTATACCTACACTGTCTAGGTACATCGTTTGTATACCTACACTGTCTAGGTACATTGTTTGTATACCTACACTGTCTAGGTACATTGTTTGTATACCTACACTGTCTAGGTACATTGTTTGTATACCTACACTGTCTAGGTACATTGTTTGTATACCTACACTGTCTAGGTACATTGTTTATATACCTACACTGTCTAGGTACATTGTTTATATACCTACACTGTCTAGGTACATTGTTTGTATACCTACACTGTCTAGGTACATTGTTTGTATACCTGTACTGTCTAGGTACATTGTTTGTATACCAACACTGTCTAGGTACATTGTTTGTATACCTGTACTGTCTAGGTACATTGTTTGTATACCAGCACTGTCTAGGTACATTGTTTGTATACCTACACTGTCTAGGTACATTGTTTGTATACCTGTACTGTCTAGGTACATTGTTTGTATACCAGCACTGTCTAGGTACATTGTTTGTATACCAACACTGTCTAGGTACATTGTTTGTATACCTGTACTGTCTAGGTACATTGTTTGTATACCTACACTGTCTAGGTACATTGTTTGTATACCAACACTGTCTAGGTACATTGTTTGTGTACCTGCACTGTCTAGGTACATTGTTTGTATACCTACACTGTCTAGGTACATTGTTTGTATACCAACACTGTCTAGGTACATTGTTTGTATACCTGTACTGTCTAGGTACATTGTTTGTATACCTACACTGTCTAGGTACATTGTTTGTATACCTACACTGTCTAGGTACATTGTTTGTATACCTACACTGTCTAGGTACATTGTTTGTTTACCTACACTGTCTAGGTACATTGTTTGTTTACCTACACTGTCTAGGTATATTGTTTGTATACCTACACTGTCTAGGTACATTGTTTGTATACCTACACTGTCTAGGTACATTGTATACCTACACTGTCTCGGTACAGTGTTTGTATACCAACACTGTCTAGGTACATTGTTTGTATACCTACACTGTCTAGGTACATTGTTTGTATACCTACACTGTCTAGGTACATTGTTTGTATACCTACACTGTCTTGGTACATTGTATACCTACACTGTCTAGGTACATTGTTTGTATACCTACACTGTCTAGGTACATTGTTTGTTTACCTACACTGTCTAGGTACATTGTTTGTATACCTACACTGTCTAGGTACATTGTTTGTATACCTACACTGTCTAGGTACATTGTTTGTATACCTACACTGTCTAGGTACATTGTTTGTTTACCTACACTGTCTAGGTACATTGTTTGTATACCTACACTGTCTAGGTACATTGTTTGTATACCTACACTGTCTAGGTACATTGTTTGTATACCTACACTGTCTAGGTACATTGTTTGTATACCTACACTGTCTAGGTACATTGTTTGTATACCTACACTGTCTAGGTACATTGTTTGTATACCTACACTGTCTAGGTACATTGTTTGTATACCTACACTGTCTAGGTACATTGTTTGTATACCTACACTGTCTAGGTACATTGTTTGTATACCTACACTGTCTAGGTACATTGTTTGTATACCTACACTGTCTAGGTACATTGTTTGTATACCTACACTGTCTCGGTACAGTGTTTGTATACCTACACTGTCTCGGTCAGTGGTTCTCAACCTTTTTCACCCCCTTGAGGAATTTTCATCATCCTCGTGGCCGCCTTTACTTTTCTCCCAGAACAGACAGACAGACAGACAGACAGACAAGTGATAAAGACTAAAGAATGATAAAGAAGGACAAATATATAGGACAAGAGTTAGAATGGCACACACACACATTCACAACACGCCCATGCACTCACACATAAAGCACACATACAGTCATACACAAACATGCACACAGGTAAACATTTACACTCAAGCTAGCAAGCTGAAGTGTACTGCCTGTAAGCAAGAACACGCCTCCTTTGACAAGCACTGCCCAACTTGGAAGAATGACAAGAATAGTGAGTCATACTAATTTAGCACCAAAATGGTAGGATTATATAAGTAAAGAATGAGTATGAACAACAATGGCACCAATAAATAAGGAAATAATTAATAAAGGAAGTGTACAAATATTTCACCCACGTAAAGCAGCGACCACATGAATTATGAAACAAAATATGTAACCCCAATTACGGAGTATATTATGCTTGAGTCAAGCTCAAACACAATATATGGTTCAGAGACAATACACTCCACTGGTTTCGTGATGGTATCCCAGGCCAGACTGAGATCATTCGGTCCTATCACCACTTGCAAAGGGATGACACACGGACACGTACTGAACAAGTCAGTGCAGCAGCTCGGTCCAGCGCCTGTCACACAGACAGGGACTGGACCTGTGAAATCTTGAATAATCTGTAAAAAATAAAAAAATTAGCACCAGAGTATGTAAATATTAAAATTGTATTGTCGTTATGATTGAAAAAAATGACAAAAAAAAAGTGAAAATTCTCTTCTGCCAAGTCAAAATAAGGTTATACAAGTTTTGTTAATTCAGATTCCCAACATTATTTGGAAACGTTCAATTTATAACAGCTCGCCGTGGCAACCCTAAATTCTTCCGTGGTCCCTTGGGGGCCATGGCCCCCAGGTTGAGAACCACTGGTCTAGGTACAGTGGTCCCTCGGTTAACGAGCACAATTCGTTCCAGAAGATTGCTCGTTAACCGAAAAATTCGTTAACCGAAACCATTGTTTCAATGGGTTTTTGGGTAATTGGTTCCAGCTCACCGAAAATTACATACAGACTAAAAATAAATGCAGTAAAGTACACTTACATTGAGGTGTGTATGTAGAAGGCTCCTGGTTGATGATGATGGGAATTAGAATGGGGGTGGAGGAGAAGGAAGAAGAGAAGGCATTGGTGTGGAAGAGAAGTCACCCTATGCCGCCATTTCACCCATAAAATTTTAGTTCACTTGGTGTAATTCAAGATTATTTTCTTTAAATCAACACTGCACTGCGCTATATATATTATCAATATGTAAAATATATTTCAAAATGACCAATAATTTGACTGGAAACACAGAAAAAAAGCGTTAATGTTGAAGAGTCTCAAACAAGATGTTCCTTCCTCTGAACTGGTAAACCAACTGACGCCAAGCTTGGTGTGTTGAGTGGCTGTTTGGAGAGCAAAAAACTAGTTTCCTCTACTTCAATTATGTTCAATAATTGTTAAAATGACTAAAAAATTTAATATAAAACTTTTAAAATTATTGAATAGCACAACCTTCTTGATATTTACTAAAATGGTAAGGAATTTAAGCCCTAAAACCGATTACTGTATTGGCGGACTAATACTACAGCTGGTGGGCAGCCAAATGCAGGCAAAAACATGGGAAAAATTTGTAAGGAATTCGTTAACCGAGGGTTTGCTCGTTAACCAAAGTGAAGAATTTTATGGAAGGTAATTCGTTAACCGAGGGATCACTGTACATTGTTTGTTTACCTACACTGTCTTGGTACATTGTTTGTATACCTACACTGTCTAGGTACATTGTTTACCTACACTGTCTTGGTACACTCGGTAAAAAACTACCGTTACAATTCCTGTGCTAAACAGACTGACACTACTAACGAAATGTTTCAAAACGACCCCTGAGGCATCCATGGCTCTGGTATCCCTGCACGTGTATGGGTTCTGCCACACGTGCTCCAAACAAGTGATCCGTACTCTGAAACGAGTCGGAGTTTCTGCTGCCACAGTAACACAATTTGAAACTTGATCGGAACTCTACTCCTCAACTCTCCTTTGTCTAATACACATTGTGAGCGGCGCTGTAGCAGCCTGATATTATGATTTACGTAATTAGTGCTCCCAACATTACCTGATATCTTACATAATGTGTGTTATATGAACTGTGGAGATATTCACATGTTTCGGAACAGCTTGGTATATTGTCCAATACTAATGTAGAATGACATAATAACACTGAGATTCAGTGTCACGAAGTGTAAGAGGATGCACCTGGGGCGTACCAACGGTAAGGAAGCGTATCATATGTCCCAACGGGATGATGAAACTGCACTAGTTGAGACTGAATGTGAGAAGGACCTAGGTGTGTATGTTGACAATGAAGTGAAGTTCTCCGGCCATTGCGAGAAGAAGGTAAATCAGGCAACTAAGTTATTAGGTCTTATTAGAAGGTCGTTCAAATATCTAGATGGTCCTTCCCTCGTAACAATCTTCAAGAGTGAAGTGCTTCCCCATCTGGAGTGCTGTCACCCCGTTTGGCCCCCTAGATATGCTAGGGACTGTCAGTTGGTTGAAAATGTTCAAAGGAGGGCCACCAGACTGGTGCCTGCACTTCGGCACCTCAACTACCCTGAGAAGTTGGAGCGCCTGAACTTGCCTAGCTTATACTACAGACGGGCAAGGGGCGACCTAACTGAGGTGTATAAGCATCTCAGGGGGCACTACTCAGTCGAGTGTCCTTACCTGGAGCTGGCAGACGCTCGCCCCACAAGGGGTCACAGCTCAAGGTTGAAGAAGCCACAGGTCTAGAAAACTGTGAGGGCAAACTTTTTCGGAGTGAGAGTTGTGAACTGTTGGAACAATGTACCAGAGAGTGTTGTGACGGCACCGAGTGTGAGCTGTTTCAAGAGAAGACTTGACCAACACTGGAGCAGGTTCAGGTACATTCTGGAGCCGGTGCATGCCCAGTACTTGCCAACAGTGTAACAGAGACGTGACCGATCGTCCAAGCGGCTAATAAGCCGATCAGTGGTGAAGAGGATAAAAGAAAAAAGTAAATATATACAGTCTGCGCGGAAAGTTAGGTCGCGATGGGGCCGACGAACAACGCTCTCGCGTAAATAAGTTCACATGTTGTGAAGGCTGTCCCGGGACGCGAGATGTTAGTACGCTTGGTTGGTTGGCAGGTGGTGACACTTGGCAACTGAGCACACGTCACGGCTTACTCTCGGTGCGCCTCTGGCAATAGTGAGGGGAAGATTAACTACGGGTTTGTGCTCCCCGTGGCCATTTTTGGCCTCATTTACGGTGCCTTACCCCGACAGAGATGTCCAGGAGGGTTACTACAAGGGACGACATTGCAGCAGTGATTGCATTGTACAAAGCAAACCATGAACTGAGAGATATTTCTGCTCAGACTGGTGTGGGGTTGTGTGTTGTGCAGAAACTTGTGAAGTGTTACCGTGAGCTTAGAGAGGACGTGTTGCCGGCACCCTTACCCAAGTCTGGTAGGCCTAAATTATTGTCTCCACGGACACTTACGGTCATTTCGTGCCAAGTTGAGACCAATCCCGCCTTCACAGCACGCGAGGTGAGAGAGAGAAACCCCCGTCTTCTCAGCCAGGTTTCCTTAAGCTGTGTTTGGCATTCCTTACAATATGACCTTGGATTTAAGAGCCTCCGTGCACCGCCGTAAACCTCTACTGACGAAGAGACGGAAGGAAAAATAGAGTGAAATTTTGCAAGAAATATTAAGTGTGGGGTTTAGAGTCGTGGAGGAGAGTTTTGTGGTCTGACGAGGTTACGTTTTTTGTGACTGGCAGTGGTGGAGGGAGGGTGTACCGCCCTCCTCACTCGGATGCACATCTCCCACTCTGCCTCACTTATGGTTTGGGCTTCCTGTACGTATTCTGGTGTTGGTGAACTAGTAATCCTCCCTAAGAACCAGATGATGAATCAGTACAACTATCTTGAGCTGTCCAGTGATTTCTTACCCGACTCATTTGATAAAGCATCATCTGTGCGACACTGACACATAATGAATCCCAAAGCTAGATGCAGCTATCAAGGATATCTGGGCTAACTTGCCACCTGACCTCTTGCAAAACCTTGTTAAATGACTGCCTGAAGTGCAAAGGGAATATTACAAAGTATTAATTGAGGTGGTAAATGTAATGCATTCCTGTATGGTAACTCATCCACGTCCATGGTTGCTGTAGTCTACGGTGTGTGGAACATTTAATATAACATACAGTTTAACTTATCTAGATATAGTGATGTTCTTCGGTCATATTGTAACAAAGTACAGTGTGTAATACAGTATTGTCACCAACACCACAACCACACCCTGAGTTAACGAGCTGCATGACCCAGTGTTTAAGGTGTAGAAGCTGTCACCAACACAACAACCACACCCTGAGTTAACAAGCTGCATGACCCAGTGTTTAAGGTGCAGAAGCTGTCACCAACACAACAACTACACCCTGAGACAACGAGCTGCATAACCCAGTGTTTAAGGTGTAGAAGCTGTCACCAACACAACAACCACACCCTGAGTTAACAAGCTGCATGACCCAGTGTTTAAGGTGCAGAAGCTGTCACCAACACAACAACCACACCCTGAGTTAACGAGCTGCATGACCCAGTGTTTAAGGTGTAGAAGCTGTCACCAACACAACAACCACACCCTGAGTTAACGAGCTGTATGACCCAGTGTTTAAGGTGTAGAAGCTGTCACCAACACAACAACCACACCCTGAGTTAACGAGCTGCATGACCCAGTGTTTAAGGTGTAGAAGCTGTCACCAACACAACAACCACACCCCTGAGTTAACAAGCTGCATGACCCAGTGTTTAAGGTGCAGAAGCTGTCACCAACACAACAACCACACCCTGAGTTAACGAGCTGCATGACCCAGTGTTTAAGGTGTAGAAGCTGTCACCAACACCAACAACCAGTTAACGAAGCTGCATGACCCAGTGAAGGTGTAGACTGTAACGAGTTAACGAGCTGCATGACCCAGTGTTTAAGGTGTAGAAGTCCCAGTTAACGAGCTGCATGACCCAGTGTTTAAGGTGTAGAAGCTGTCGCCAACACAACAACCACACCCTGAGTTAACGAGCTGCATGACCCAGTGTTTAAGGTGTAGAAGCTGTCACCAACACAACAACCACACCCTGAGTTAACGAGCTGCATGACCCAGTGTTTAAGGTGTAGAAGCTGTCACCAACACAACAACCACATCCTGAGTTAACGAGCTGCATGACCCAGTGTTTAAGGTGTAGAAGCTGTCACCAACACAACAACCACACCCTGAGTTAATTAACTGCATGACCCAGTGTTTAAGGTGTAGAAGCTGTCACCAACACAACAACCACACCCTGAGTTAACAAGCTGCATGACCCAGTGTTTAAGGTGTAGAAGCTGTCACCAACATAACAACCACACCCTGAGTTAATGAACTGCATGACCCTGTGTTTAAGGTGTAAAAGCTGTCACCAACACAACAACTACACCCTAAGTTAACGAGCTGCATGACCCAGTGTCTAAGGTGTAAAAGCTGTCACCAACACAACAACTACACCCTAAGTTAACGAGCTGCATGACCCAGTGTTTAAGGTGTAGAAGCTGTCACCAACACAACAACTACACCCTAAGTTAACGAGCTGCATGACCCAGTGTTTAAGGTGTAAAAGCTGTCACCAACACAACAACTACACCCTAAGTTAACGAGCTGCATGACCCAGTGTTTAAGGTGTAGAAGCTGTCACCAACACAACAACCACACCCTGAGTTAACAAGCTGCATGACCCAGTGTTTAAGGTGTAGAAGCTGTCACCAACACAACAACTACACCCTAAGTTAACGAGCTGCATGACCCAGTTTCAAGGAATAGTCCGAGAAGACCGGACAACTCGCCAACTGCACTGGCTAACCATTACCCCGGAACACGATCCGCAAATCGATAAACATCCAGGTCCCCAATTACTGCTGGGTAGACAGAGGCAAATGGCGTAAAGAAACTTCCCCATAGTTTCACCCTGCCCGGGGATTGAACTTGGGTCCGCTCGCTTGCGAGGCGAGCATGCTAACCATTACACCACATACATGCAGAGAAACACATATGGTACACTGACACACATAAGCACACTAACATACAGGTACACACTTATGTACAGCAACACCACAACCGCATCCAGCCCATAAGAGCACGAACTGATCACTATAAGAACAGCTCAGTCCCAACCATTGTAAAAAGTATCAATAACTTGTAATAAACCAGTGTATTCACTCCCAGTCACTGTTAACTTATCACACTGTCACTGTTGAAATGCCCTGTAGTACAACCTTCTCCCCACCTAGTTGTTATATATCATATTTGTATCACTTTATCATTTGTCAAACAAGTGATTCATTAACCAATTATTCAACTGTATATTTTCAGCCTTCCTGTTGCCATGCTCTCTCAATAAACCATTAATTTTTACACACAAGAACAAAAATATACACCCACATAAATACATAGAAACATATATGCACACACACCAACTTTCTGTGTTTTAGTGTGTGATGTGAAAACAAACTCCAAAAATAACTATACTATATAATATTAGTAAAATACTTTGTAGATACACGTTGAAGTAGGATCATATTAAGCCCAGCCCACTGCACCCCAGCCCACCCCACCCCACCCCACCCCACCCTGATGTTTACAAGTTAATGAGTCAATTGTAATGTTTTTCCTTGTCTTTCAGATGTTTGGGAGAGTTAATGAACAGTAGTCGAGAGAGAAGTCGTGGGTGGGGTACTGAGAGGCGACATGGCTGACAGAATGGCGCGGCGCAGGGTTAAGCTCTACGCGCTCAACGCTGATCGCCAGTGGGACGACAGGGGCACAGGTCATGTGACGTCCTCGTAAGTACAGCGCGGTGCGAGTGTTTATCCCGTAGTATTTCTGGCCTGGCCCTTAAGCCACCACGCCCCTCTGTAAAAATAGCCGATTCGTTCATAGGAAATGTTCGTGCAGCTGTCTGTTAATTCAGATTTAATGTGTTCGCGATAGGTAAGAAGATCTGTTATCTAAAATAATGTTAAATATCTGGATTATCAAATGTAGATGATTTTAAGGCACTTCAGAGAGGATGTTAGAAAATGTTAAATATTTATCATAAAAAGTTGATGTTAAAGGTGAAATTAATTTTTTGAATGATGTCTTTTCATTATTTCTCTCTTCTGTACCAAATATAAAGTAGAACCAAATGATACCCAAAATATAGCACATAATGAACTATAGGTCGTGTGGCGGGATATATCTAAAATTATCTATATAACTTGATATAAATACACGCAGTCCAGAGGGAGGTAAAGCACTCGGGGGAAGAGCCACCGGACCTTTGTGGGAAGTTGGCTCATCTCAACAGCCAACAGACGTCAACTGTTGGGTGTGACGAACATAGATGGTTCGTGTTTATCTCGGCAACAAGGCATCGTCTATACCTGGAATGTACAATCTTTATACACTAGTCGGCCACTTAATTGTGCAGGTAATCAGCGATAAGTTAGCGCTGGGTTCCACAAAATTGAATGTAAATCCATAAATACAGGACAGTATTTTATGGGTCAGATTTTATAAACAACATCGATATTTAAAATTAAACACGGCTTATCATTTTTCACATATACGTATTCTGCAGTGAAATAATAGCACTAGTCAATAGCCCAGTTAAATATTCTGTAGTGAAATAATAGCACTAGTCAATAGTCCAGTTAATATTCTGTAGTGAAATAATAGCACTTGTCAATAGCCCAGTTAATATTCTGTAGTGAAATAATAGCACTAGTCAATAGCCCAGTTAATATTCTGTAGTGAAATAATAGCACTAGTCAATAACCCAGTTAATATTCTGTAGTGAAATAATAGCACTAGTCAATAGCCCAGTTAAATATTCTACAGTGAAATAATAGCACTAGTCAATAGCCCAGTTAAATATTCTACAGTGAAATAATAGCACTAGTCAATAGCCCAGTTAAATATTCTACAGTGAAATAATAGCACTAGTCAATAGCCCAGTTAAATATTCTACAGTGAAATAATAGCACTAGTCAATAGCCCAGTTAAATATTCTACAGTGAAATAATAGCACTAGTCAATAGCCCAGTTAAATATTCTACAGTGAAATAATAGCACTAGTCAATAGCCCAGTTAAATATTCTACAGTGAAATAATAGCACTAGTCAATAGCCCAGTTAATATTCTGTAGTGAAATAATAGCACTAGTCAATAGCCCAGTTAAATATTTTGTAGTGAAATAATAGCACTAGTCAATAGCCCAGTTAATATTCTACAGTGAAATAATAGCACTAGTCAATAGCCGCGTGTAGCCACGTATTAACTAGAGTATCGACAAAACCTCGATAACTTCCCCAGAAAGTAGAAGATTATCCACTACTTCCACCACACAAATTTAAGCCAATGAAATATCAGTTTTCGAACACATCGGCCAATTAAAAATCAGGGACGTGTTTCTCGATTATTTCCTTAATTTCCCTGCTTTTTATTTTCTACCCAAATATAAGGATTAATATCGGTCTTCCCGGTCATATAGCCCGAGATTTAGACGTCTCTCAGCTGGCCATATACGAACCTCTGGTCTATACCTTACCTTTGTACATTATTCTTCATACCTTTCCTTCCCTTCTATAAATACAGTTACAGTATATTGACTGTTTAGAAGACTTTAACATATACAGTTTTTTTTGTACAGTTAAAACAGTCACCAATGTCATCAATTATCCATCTGTCTACAATTACGGTCAGTACACAGTTCAGGTAAGACAGTCTAGTCATCGCCGCGGTTAAGACGGTCACTGTAACTGTCTCTACCGATCAAAGAACACTTAAAACAGTCACTAACAGTCGCCAACTAACCGCCTCCTCTCCACAGATATGTTGAACGGTTAAAAGGTATGTCCCTCTTAGTACGAGCAGAGTCCGACGGCTCCCTGTTGTTAGAGTCCAGGATTCAGGCGGACACAGCATACCAGAAACAGCAAGGGACTCTGATTGTGTGGTCAGAGGGCGAGAACTTTGACTTGGCGCTCAGTTTTCAAGAGAAGGCCGGCTGTGATGAGATCTGGGAAAAAATATGTCAGGTACTGTGTCCTACCTTCTAGTTAACCTAACCTAGTCTGACCTAACCTAACCTGGTCTAACCTAGTCTAACCTAACCTAGTCTAGTCTGACCTAACCTAGTCTAACCTAACCTGACCTGACCTAACCTTGTCTGGTCTAACGTAACCTAACCTAGTCTAGTCTAACCTAACCTAGTCTAACCTAACCTAGTCTAGTCTAACCTAACCTAGTCTAGTCTAACCTAACCTAGTCTAGTCTAACCTAACCTAGTCTAGTCTAACCTAACCTAACCTGACCTAATCTTGTCCGGTCTAATGTAACCCAACCTAGTCTAACCTATCCTATCCTATCCTATCCTATAATAACCTAGGCTAATATAACCGAACCCAGCTTATTTGACCTAAAGATTAACCACCCTATTGCTAACCTAACCAAACCTGACCTGACCTAACCTGACCTGACCAAACCTACCAATATCAATTATGCATTATTTTATTGTTTATGGTCATATATCAGGAGACACATTATGAGTCCAAATAGAGAAGAGTACACAACACAAGTTTTCTAAATTATGTCTATGTATATAATTGTGAATCTGAACTGGTGAGTTGAGTACATTACCTATGTACTCTGAATTGTGTCATGTATGTTTTTCGTGAGTCCAAACTGGTGAGTAGACGAGAAAAGGACTCAATAAATTGTGTATTTTTGCTAATATTGAGTCCAATCTTATGTATATGTATGTACAGTAACTAACTGTGAGTACGAACCATGTAAACAGAATAATCCCCAGTGTGTTTGTTTTTTTGCCGATCTTATTGTTATTATTTTGACTATTTTGCCGCAAGTGTACCCGACGAAAACGAATTGTAAAACTCCATCGCCTAACCAAATCTAAACTAACCTAACCTAACCTAATCGAACCTAACCTTACCTAACGTAACCTAACCAAACCTAACCTAAAAGTCTGTCACTCGTTCGCAGGTGCAAGGAAAGGACCCGAGCGTTGATATCACTCAAGATATCGTCGAGGAGAGCGAAGATGAAAGATTCGACGACGTCTCGGACTCGAACCCCTGGGTGGAATTGCCGCCTTGTGAGATTGGCAGACTGGAAGACATCAACGAGGTATGGTTTTGGGGAGGGGTCCAATGGTGTTTGGGGTGTGGTGCGGGGGTCCAGTGGGTGTGTTGTCAAGGCTAGTTTTGGGTGTGTTGTCAAGGCAATCACATTTCAGGACACAATCATTCTGCCAAATTCTAAAATAGATATGCTAGGCCTCACCATATCTTCTAATATGTCATGGAAGCCACACATCCTCAACATTGCTAAAGCTGCCTCCTGAAAGCTGGGAAAGCTGTACAGATGCCGTAGCTACTTCACTCCTGAGCAGTTGCTTCAAGTATATAAGGGATTCATTCATCCTAACTTGGAGTACTGCTCTCATATCTGGGGTGGCTCTTCAACTGTTAGATAGGATGGAATCAAAGGCATTTCGTCTTATTAACTCTCCTCCTTTAGTTGATAATCTTTCTTCCCTTTCTCTTCGCCACAATGATGCTTCACTCTCTCTCTTTTACAGGTACTTTAACGGGCAATGTTCGGTGGCTTTGGCATCCTGTGTACCGCCGTGGGCTCGTAACACACGTCTTGTCCGCGGTGCCCACCGTTTCTCTGTGGATGTCGGTCACACTATAATAACCCGTTATAGTACCTCCTTCTTTCTTCACACAGCCAAACTGTGGAATGGTCTGCCTTCTTTTGTGTTTCCATGCTCTTACAATTCATCTCACATAATCCACGTTGTAACTAACCTAACCTAACCATATTATTTCAGGTTATAAGCAACTGCCTCCACTCACCAGTACGGAGAGAAAAGCTGGCAATAGCCCTGGAGAACGAAGGCTACGTCAAGAAACTGGTCTCCGTATTCCACACCTGCGAGGATCTGGAGAATATGGAAGGGCTGCATCTCCTCTACGAAATCTTCAAAAATATCTTCCTGCTCAACAAAAACGCCCTATTTGAAATCATGTTCGCCGACGATACAATATTCGACGTCGTTGGCTGCTTGGAGTACGACCCTTCCTCGCCGTACCCTAAGAGACATCGCCAGTATCTAAAAAGTATAGCAAAGTTTAAGGAGGTGAGTTGTTGTGTATGAGACACCCGCACGTATGATTAGTGTATGTTGAGACACCACACATACGGAGGTGGTGTGGATGTGGTGGCTCAAGCAAATACTCACAACCATATGATTCGTGGCCACATCAGAAGAACGACTCATAAACGTGGCCACAATTAGAAAAATCCGTCCAATTAAGATATACGTCATAACCTATTTGATGTATTTTCCCACAACTAAGTTATTACAGTGAAGATAAGTAAACACAGAGGGTCCCAGGGTTATGGACGAGTTTTGTTCTTAAGTCAGAAATGTCAGTAAGTCGGACCACATGCCTTATGTTCACTAAATCTCGACCTAAGTCATTTTTTACATCCTGGATCAGTTAATTTAAGAGAGATGAAGAAATTGATTGAGAAAATACAGTTTTGTTTTGTTATCAAAGTTGAGTTCATTGGTGTAGATCCTTTGACACCTACAAGAATTTTGAGTTTCTTTCAAAGTTATTCCGACCGTTGACCGGCTGAAGCCCAACGCTCTACCAATGGCTGAACACCTTTGACCCTTTTCAGAACGTTTAATTACATCAACTTTCACTTCGATTGTGATTGTTTTCCATTTTTTTTTGGATGCAGTACAATTATTTGCATCAGGTTTGTGTTTTGGGAGCCATGATGGGGACAGAAAAAACGAGCTAAGCAAAAAAACAACAGTGAGGTGAGGTGTAAGGCATACTGACACTCCATCGAGACGAAGTGACTACCTACCTGCCGCTCCACCACACAAACTAGTTGTCATACTATATACCAGTTGTACCTGTGGCGATATCTTAAAAATATTTACCCTTATGGGACGTAGTTCGTATTGGCTGGCGTTCCTAAGTCGGACGCTCGTAACTCGTGGACCCCATGTAATTGAATGATATACTTTCCGCTCTGAAAGACTATCTTGTGTGATGTGAGATAAGTTTGTACGTGTTGGGATCTGACCTCGTGGTTATCAGTCTCACGGCGGCGTCCAGATTCTCGTCGTTTACTCTACTTGTAATCTCTGACTTGCTGAGATTTAATAGACTAGCATAAATATCAACCTTCTGTCATAAATATGGATTCTATGAGGTGAACGCTTACAGGTAATGAATAGGTTCCCTTATGTAAACTATGCATGAAGTATGTCACAATTCTGAAGATCAACCTAACTGGGCCTCTAGTTTGATGTCTTGAGGTGAAACAAGAAATAGTGAACAGCTCCTAATTCTTTTTTTCCTTCCTGGTCTCAAAATTTCTTGTCAAATACTTCCGGAATAATTGTAATCTTTCTTGCATAGTTTTCGGCTCTGTAATCCATTTTGTGCTCTTAAAGTATAATTTGATATGTTTGGTAAATGTCTCGACTGACATTTTAATGACTTGTGCCTGAAACAGCTTGAACTAGTTAGGTTAGGTGAAACAAGCTGGTTAGGTTAGGTGAAACAAGCTGGTTAGGTTAGGTGAAACAAGCTAGTTACACCCTTGAAGTTTGGCATGCAAGTTAACTGTATGACCAGTAATATCAACAAGAAATGCTACTTCACAGAGCCATTCCACATTTTCAAGCTGTGGAACTGCTTCTACCTTACCATTATGAACGAAACAATACCATATATAGTGTACTCTGCTTCCATGTCTTCCAGAAACTACTTCAACTGGACATGATTCAAGATTTGATAAAGTTGACAGCTTAAACTACAACTTTTGATCACATTTTCAAAAGGTTTAGTCTTTTCAACCAAAATTTTGTTGATGTATAAAGCAGTAACAGTGTATCATTTTGTGCGCTAACCAATGTGTTATGTTGGCAGGTAATCCCCATCGAGAATAGTGAGTTACTGAGCAAGATACACCAAACATACCGTGTACAGTATATCCAAGATGTGGTCCTTCCCACCCCAGCAGTGTTTGAGGAGAATATGCTCTCCACTCTCTCCTCATTTATATTCTTCAACAAGGTGGAAATTGTCTCTCTTATACAGGTAAGGTCACTTAATCACATTGTAAAGTTGGGGTCAAAAGTTCGCTGGCCCAGTATGAAACAGAGTCGACCCCAAGTGAGATGAAACAGTGACTTAAACAGTGACTTGGTTTCACCGCTGGGAGCAAACTTTCGTCCCAGACTATACAGACACTTAAAAAAACTATCTATATTAAATTGTGATGAGAAAAATATGACAAAGGATGAAGTTTTTTGACAACAGGAGTTACAGTGTTCATTCTGACATTCATTTACTACTTGGGGGTTAATCTTCAGGTGAGCACTTGGGGGTTAATCTACAGGTGAGCACTTGGGGGTTAATCTACAGGTGAGCACTTGGGGGTTAATCTACAGGTGAGCACTTGGGGGTTAATCTTCAAGTGAGCACTTGGGGGTTAATCTACAGGTGAGCACTTGGGGTTAATCTACAGGTGAGCACTTGGGGGTTATCTACAGGTGAGCACTTGGGGGTTAATCTTCAGGTGAGCACTTGGGGGTTAATCTACAGGTGAGCACTTGGGGGTTAATCTTCAGGTGAGCACTTGGGGGGTCACTAAATCTTCAGGTGAGCACTTGGGGGCTACTTCTTCAGGTGAGCACTTGGGGGCTAATCTTCAGGTGAGCACTTGGGGAGCTAATCTTCAGGTGAGCACTTTAATCATCAGGTGAGCACTTGGGGTTAATCTTCAGGTGAGCACTTGGGGGTAATCTCAGGTGAGCACTTGGGGTAATCTACAGGTGAGCACTTGGGGGTTATCTTCAGGTGAGCTAATCTTGGTGAGCACTTGGGGTTAATCTTCAGGTGAGCACTTGGTGAGCACTTGGGGGTTAATCTACAGGTGAGCACTTGGGGGGAGCTAATCATCAGGTGAGCACTTGGGGGTTAATCTACAGGTGAGCACTTGGGGGTTAATCTACAGGTGAGCACTTGGGGGTTAATCTACAGGTGAGCACTTGGGGGTTAATCATCAGGTGATATATAAGTAGAATTATGTTTGCTGTTGTTGCCGGCCTCAGACACACCAGGAATTAAGTCTTGGGAGTTACCAAGCACGAAGGCGATCACCAACGTCACTCTGTTCCGAACTCTACAGGAAGACGAACGATTCCTGAGCGAGTTGTTCCACCAGCTGGGAGGCGATGAAGACATACCCACAGAGAAGCGGCGAGACTTGGTACTGTTCCTAAAGGAGTTCTGCACCTTCTCCCAAACCCTACAGCCCACCAGCAGAGAGGCGTTCTTTAAAGTAAGTCCTCGTCTCGTGAGAATGTTTTTATTTTTGTTTTGACGTTAACTGTTGTACTCGTGTTAGCTGGTGTTAAAGGAGTTTAGGGTAATAATTGGGTGAGAAATGGTGGTGTTGATAGTGGTGATGACTTCTTTAGGTTAAGTTAGTACCATTATTAACATGAATAAAGTCTTGTGTTAGGTTAAGTCAGTCACCACCTCATCGGAACCCACACGCGACCTTGACCTTACTATGCCAAGGTGAACTGATCTCGACCTTTACCTTATACCCACCCCCCCTTCTCCCCCTCCCCCCCAGACTCTGTCCAGCCTGGGGGTCTTGTCGGCGCTGGAGATCACCCTCGGACTCGACGACGCGGTTATCAAGTCGGCCTCCATTGATATTCTCAGCTACATCGTGGAGTTCTCCCCGTCGATGGTTCGCGAGTACATGGTGCAGCAACAACATAAAACAGAAGAGGTAAGGCATGGGGTCGGGTGTATGGAGGTGAGGCTGGGGTCGGGTGTACGGAGGTGAGGCTGGGGTCGGGTGTATGGAGGTGAGGCGTGGGGTCGGGTGTACGGAGGTGAGGCTGGGGTCGGGTGTACGGAGGTGAGGCTGGGGTCGGGTGTACGGAGCTGAGGCTGGGGTCGGGTGTACGCATGTTTGTGTCATTACATTCGGGCGTCCCTCGATGGCCGTACAATCAGATCAGGTTAGTATAGAGTTTAATCACAAGTACAATCAGATCAGGTTAGTACAGTGATCCCTCGGTTAACGAGCGCCTTGGTAAGATTCTTAACTTCGGTTAACGAGCAATCCCTCGATTAACGCGTTTTTTACGAGCCGACTTCAACATGTTTTCGCTTGCATTTGGCGGTCCACCAGCTGTAGTATTAGTCCGCCAATAAAGTAATCGGTTTTAGGGCTTAAATTCCTTACTATTTTAGTAAATATCAAGAAGTTTATACTATTCAATAATTTTAAAAGTTTAATATTAACTTTTTTAGTCATTTTAACAATTATTGAACATAATTGAAGGTAAAGAAACTAGTTTCTGGCATGCCATCCAGCCTGTTAACACACCAGACAGGCGTTAGTCTCTCTCTGTTTTCAGTGGAGGTAACATCTTGCTTGAGACTTTCTTCAACTTAACACTTTTTTCTGTGTTTCCAAGCAAATTATTGGTCATTTTGAAATTTATTTTGCATAATGATAATGTATAATGCAGTGCAGTGTTGATTTGAAGAAAATAATCTTGAATTACACCAAGTGAACTAAAATTTTATGGGTGAAATGGTGCCATGGGGTGACTTCTCTTCCACCCCAATGCCTTCTCTTCTTCCTTCTCCTCCACCCCCATTCTAATTCCCATCATCATCATCATCAATCCAGGAGCCTTCTACATACACACCTCAAAGTAAGTGTACTTTACCTTTTTTGTTGAATTTAGGCAATTTTCGGTGAGCTGGAACCAATTACCCAAAAACCCATTGAAACAATGGTTTCGGTTAACGAGCAACCTGCTGGAACGGATTGTGCTCGTTAACCGAGGGACCACTGTATAGAGTTTAATAACAAGTACAATCAGATCAGGTTAGTATAGAGTTTAATAACAAGTACAATCAGATCAGGTTAGTATAGTGTTTAATAACTGGGTAGGAGGAGGGTGTACAGGGTAGGAGGAGGGTGTACAGGGTAGGAGGAGGGGTGTACATGGTAGGAGGAGGGGTGTACAGGGTAGGAGGGGTGTACAGGGTAGGAGGAGGGGTGTACAGGGTAGGAGGAGGGTGTACAGGGTAGGAGGGGGGTGGGTAGGGAGGAGGGTGCACAGGCAGGAGGAGGGTACTGCAGGAGGAGGGGTACTGCAGGAGGGGTGTACAGGGTAGGGAGGGAGGGTGTACAGGGTAGGGAGGGTGGTGTGTGGGCAGGAGGTGTACAGGGTAGGAGGAGGGGTGTACAGGGTAGGAGGAGGTGTGTGGGAGGAGGGTACAGGTAGGAGAGGTGGCAGGTAGGGAAGGTACAGGGTAGGGAGGAGGGGTAGGAGGAGGGGTGTAAGCAGGGTAGGAGGGGGTAGGAGGTGGGCAGGGTAGGTAGGAGGAGGTGGGCAGGGTAGGAGGAGGGTGTACAGGTAGGAGGGTGTAAGGTAGGAGGAGGTAAGCAGGGTAGAGGGGTGTACAGGGTAGGAGGAGGGGTACAGGTAGGAGGAGGGTAAGCAGGGTGGGAGGAGGGTGTACAGGGTAGGAGGAGGTAAAGCAGGGTAGGAGGAGGGTGTACAGGGTAGGAGGGGGGGGTGTACAGGGTAGAGGAGGGTGTCAGGGGTAGGAGGGGTGGTGTAGCAGGGTAGGAGGTGGGTATAGGTAGGGGATGAGGGTACAGGGTAGGAGGAGGGGTACAGGGGTAGGAGGAGGGGTGTACAGGGTAGGAGGAGGGTACAGGGTAGGAGGCAGGGTAGGAGGAGGTGTGTACAGGTAGGAGGAGGGGTAGGAGGAGGGGTGTACAGGGTAGGAGGAGGTGTAGGGTAGGGAGGAGGGGTGTGGGGGAGGAGGGGTGTACAGGGTAGGGGAGGAGGGGTGTACAGGGGTAGGGAGGAGGGGTGAAGGGGTAGGAGGAGGTAAGCAGGTAGGAGGTGTGGGCTAGGTAGGAGGAGGGGTGTACAGGGTAGGGAGGAGGGTGTACAGGGTAGGAGGGTGTAAGCAGGTAGGAGGAGGGTGTAGGTAGGAGGAGGGTGTACAGGGTAGGAGGAGGGGTGTACAGGGTAGGAGGAGGGTGTACAGGGTAGGAGGAGGGGTGTACAGGGTAGGAGGAGGGTGTACAGGGTAGGAGGAGGGGTGTACAGGGTAGGAGGAGGGTGTACTGGAGAATTAACAAAGAAAAGTGTAAGAGAGAGAGAGAGAGAGAGAGAGAGAGATATATAAAGACACAAGGAGAAGAAAGATTAGGAAAAAAATCCCTTGAGGAATATAAGCCAATTGAATCTGGTTGTCTATGTGTACACTTTTCTTACCATTTATAGACATATGAGTTTCTCTAGGCCCTTAGTAGGTGTGTGTGGGGTGATTAACATAACTAGTAATTGCTTAGAGATAAGTTAAGTCATGATATATTTAAGGCTGTAATATCCTGTCATAAGCTTTGAGAGGGAGGAGGTAAAATCTTCAGGTAACTGTTTTGAATTGTTGTTTACCTTGTACCCCCAGAGAATTGTTTACCTTGTACCCCCAGAGAATTGTTTACCTTGTACCCCAGAGAATTGCTTACCTGTACCCCAGAGTAACTGTTTACCTTGTACCCCCAGAGAATTGTTTACCTTTGTACCCCCAGAGAATTGTTTACCTGCAATTTCAGAGAACGAGCTTACCTTGTACCCCAGAGAATTGTTTACATCTTTGTACCCCCCAGAGAATTGTTTACCTTGTACCCCCCAGAGAATTGTTTACCTTGTACCCCAGAGAATTGTTTACCTTGTACCCCAGTGAATTGTTTACCTTGTACCCCCCGGAGAATTGTTTACCTTGTACCCCCCAGAGAATTGTTTACCTCCGTCCCCCAGAACTTCATCCCTATATCTTGTGTTTGCAGGAGCAGTATCTTTTAAACATCATCATTGAGCAAATGGTGGTGGACTCTGATCCTGAGATGGGGGGGGCGGTCCAGCTGATGGGTATACTGCGGATACTGATAGATCCCGAGAACATGATGGCCACCGTCACCAAGTCGGAGAGGGCGGACTTCCTCGCGTTCTTTTATAAACACTCGATGCATTACCTTGTGGGTATGTATGGCGCTACCTTGGTGAAGTATGGATGTATGGTACTACCTTGGTGAAGTATGTATGTATGGTACTACCTTGGTGAAGTATGGATGTATGGTACTACCTTGGTGAAGTATGGATGTATGGTACTACCTTGGTGAAGTATGGATGTGCTGGCACTACCTTGGTGCGATGGATGTATGGCAATTACCTTGGTGAAGTATGGATGTATGTACTACTCAGAAGTATGTATGTATGGTACTACCTTGGTGAAGTATGGATGTATGGCACTACCTTGGTGAAGTATGTATGTATGGTACTACCTTGGTGAAGTATGGATGTATGGTACTACCTTGGTGAAGTATGTATGTATGGTACTACCTTGGTGAAGTATGTATGTATGGCACTACCTTGGTGAAGTATGGATGTATGGTACTACCTTGGTGAAGTATGGATGTATGGCACTACCTTGGTGAAGTATGGATGTATGGTACTACCTTGGTGAAGTATGTATGTATGGTACTACCTTGGTGAAGTATGGATGTATGGCACTACCTTGGTGAAGTATGGATGTATGGCACTACCTTGGTGAAGTATGGATGTATGGTACTACCTTGGTGAAGTATGGATGTATGGCACTACCTTGGTGAAGTATGGATGTATGGCACTATGTTGGTGAAGTATGTATGTATGGTACTACCTTGGTGAAGTATGTATGTATGGCACTACCTTGGTGAAGTATGTATGTATGGCACTATGTTGGTGAAGTATGTATGTATGGTACTACCTTGGTGAAGTATGTATGTATGGTACTACCTTGGTGAAGTATGTATGTATGGCACTATGTTGGTGAAGTATGGATGTATGGTACTACCTTGGTGAAGTATGTGTGTATGGCACTATGTTGGTGAAGTATGGGTGTATGGCACTATGTTGGTGAAGTATGTATGTATGGCACTACCTTGGTGAAGTATGTATGTATGGTACTACCTTGGTGAAGTATGGATGTATGGTACTACCTTGGTGAAGTATGTATGTATGGCACTACCTTGGTGAAGTATGGATGTATGGTACTACCTTGGTGAAGTATGGATGTATGGCACTACCTTGGTGAAGTATGGATGTATGGTACTACCTTGGTGAAGTATGTATGTATGGGGTTGGTGTGTTTATATATGGGTGAGAAAGATAATATGTGTTTGTGTGTGTGAGACAAACTACTTCAATAATGGGTAAATCAGTCATTAAGTTTTCTCGACTTAACTGGTGGATAACCGTGAACGACTGTATGGATGGTGTGACCGTATGTATGATGTGACCGTATGGATGACTGGCAGAGGTTAGGTTAGGAATACACATTGATTTATTCTGGCTGCTGTGACGCATAGGTAAATAAACACAGGTATATAGCTCTTTGGGGGAGGGGGGGGGGGTGATGCCAGCCCTCTTGAGCTATGACTGTGAGTGTGTCCAAACATTCATCACCACTGCCTCTTCTTCCCTTCCTCCTCCTCCTCCTCCATTATATCGAGGGTTCGTTAGATGTGAAACCTCTATGTAATGGACTACAGTAAAGCCTCCGATAACAATGGTTCGACCAACAACTTTTCATATTTAAGACCCTAGTTAATTTAGGACCCAATTCAATTTACGTCCTTATTTCATTCATATTTACGACCAAAATATAATAAAAATATAATTAAATTAAATTTTCATATAAATAATAACTAAATCCAGATATGAAAAAAATACTGTAAAAAATTAAGAGCGCCTTGCACAAAGAAGCTGCCTTGCTAATGAGTGGTAAACAAGTGATGGTAGTGTTGTTTCAAAAGCTAATAGAAATTGTATAAGCTTAGCCGAGAAACTAGACGTGTTAAAACGATATGAAAACGGTGAGAGGTCTGTGGATATTATATGGAGCAAGCAATGAACATATTTACTAAAGTGGATCCATTAACAGAACAAAGCTTTAAAATTTAAATAAACACAAATGACCTCTACATAAAGATGTATAATGAAAAAAGAAAACAGCTGTGCAAAGGTCTTTTGACAGCTTTATAGGCCTAAACCATCAACTTCAGCTACACCAAATTCAGCATCATAAGCAACTTCAACAACAACTTCAAGTTCAGTAACAGTTTCAGCAACAGCTTTATGGAAAGCTGCAGCTTCAGCCAGAGCTGAACCTACAGCTTCAGCCAGAGTTGAACCTGATGACTTCCTCATCTGAGTAAAAACTCGCACAATATTCATTGGCTGTCCTTATGTTTTAGACTTTACCGCCATTGGTGAGTAGAATTTTAGTTTTACATTCGTAAATATTTTTTAAAACATATATGAACAGTAAATAAGTGTTGCTTTCATATTCATATGTTGAGAAATGACAATATGTTTTCACATGTACGCACTTACTGTTCATATGTTGGTGTTCCCAATCGTCTCACTTTATTTCTTTACCATTGGTGGTTAGTTACTTCTAGTATTCCATTTATTAACATTAAATAACGTTACTTAAATCATATATATTCATTTTTTTTTTACATTAGGTTCACTACAGCTACAACCGGGATCTTATTGTCTACAGTTTCTTATGTAGAACCATCGTCACTCACGGAAACAATGCCGTCTTGTCTCCTCTTGTGTGTTTTAATATTCTACGCATTATTGATGAATTGCATTGTTCATTTTACATATATAAACATTAATTCAATCAAATACATATTCAGTAATAAACAATAGTGAATCTTTTGTACATATTCTTAAAAAGATAAATGATGCGGTATCCTTAAATGCGCACGTACAGTATATGTTGGCGTTCCCAATCCATCTTTTTTTTTTCTTCTTCACTATTAGTGGCTAGCTACTTCTATTGTTCCATTTATTAACATTAAATAACATTACTTAAAACATATATATTCATTTTTTTACATTAATTTTACTACAGCTACAACCAGGGTCTTATTTTCTTCATTTTCTCGTGTAGAACCATCGTCCCGGACTCCCGGCTGTAAACACAAACGAAAACAATGGCGGTTCATCTCCACTTGTGTGACCATATTATTATTCATTTATATTGTATAAGGTGCATTCAGAAACATTATTTAAAGAATATGGTTTGCAATATTCATTAATTGTATTGTTTTTTGGGGGGAAAAGAGGGTAAAAAGCCACACAGAAGATATGAAAAGGTCGCACTTGGAAACACATCTCATTATTATTGCTTTAATGGTAATACGATTCACCTCACACTGTAATATTGGAGGACACATTACCGTCGTTATCCGAGGCCTTACTGCATGTGGAGAGGAGAGTCCATTATATCGAGGGTCCGTTAGATGTGAAACCTCTATTTAATGGACTATATGGAGAGGAGAGTCCATTATATCGAGGGTCCGTTAGATGTGAAACCTCTATTTAATGGACTATATGGAGAGGAAAGTCCATTATATCGAGGGTCCGTTAGATGTGAAACCTCTATTTAATGGACTATATGGAGAGGAGAGTCCATTATATCGAAGGTCCGTTAGATGTGAAACCTCTATTTAATGGACTATATGGAGAGGAGAGTCCATTATATCGAGGGTCCGTTAGATGTGAAACCTCTATTTAATGGACTATATGGAGAGGAGAGTCCATTATATCGAGGGTCCGTTAGATGTGAAACCTCTATTTAATGGACTATATGGAGAGTCCATTATATCGAGGTCCGTTAGATGTGAAACCTCTATTTAATGGACTATATGGAGAGGAGAGTCCATTATATCGGTCCGTTAGATGTGAAACCTCTATTTAATGGACTATATGGAGAGGAGAGTCCATTATATCGAGGGTCCGTTAGATGTGAAACCTCTATTTAATGGACTATATGGAGAGGAGAGTCCATTATATCGAGGGTCCGTTAGATGTGAAACCTCTGTGTTATGGACTATATGGAGAGGAGAGTCCATTATATCGAGGTTTCACTCTATTAACCTCTAGTATACAATGTACAATAAAAGATGTTTATCTCTACAGCACCACCACCACCTAACCTAACCTAACCTAACCCTCTCAGCCTCGGAGTCGAAATCACAGACGCACGTGAAAACTTACACTCGGCCTCAGATTTATTTAGGGCCCATTTCACCGCCGTGGAATTGTTTCATTAATTGTAATGGATCTCTTCTAGCAGGAAATTGTCTGAAACATTGTATGACACCATAAAAAACGGAAAATTATTTAAATTTAAGCCACTTTTTTCGAGCTAGTTGAAAATAGTAGGGAAATTATTTAGTAGCATCTTGATTTCCATTCACATTTTCCTTGTATTATGGTGTTCATTAGTATGTACTTTATACCTCAATAAAGAACAAGTCCTGTCGAATATTGTGGTGTAAGGAAAAATAACACAAAAACTCATGGAATAAATAACGGGTCAAACAGCACAGCCTCCTCTCTCACACTGGCTTCATGCTGCCACACACATTCACCAACACTGTCTCGGAGAAGGTTTTAAGGCCCACACAAAGAAAATGGCGTCTAAAGTTCATTCAGTGCGAGGCTGAGAGGGTTAACCTAACACTAGCCATAACGTACCTTACAGCACCACCACTATTGACCCTAACCTAACACTAACCTAACACTAGCCATAATGTACCTTACAGCACCACCACTATTGACCCTAACCTAACACTAACCTAACACTAGCCATAATGTACCTTACAGCACCACCACTATTGACCCTAACCTAACACTAACCTAACACTAGCCATAATGTACCTTACAGCACCACCACTATTGACCCTAACCTAACACTAACCTAACACTAGCCATAACGTACCTTACAGCACCACCACTATTGACCCTAACCTAACACTAACCTAACACTAGCCATAATGTACCTTACAGCACCACCACTATTGACCCTAACCTAACACTAACCTAACACTAGCCATAATGTACCTTACAGCACCACCACTATTGACCCTAACCTAACACTAACCTAACACTAGCCATAATGTACCTTACAGCACCACCAC